AGACACGTGACGGGGTCACATTTCCAAATTCGCTGTGGGCCATCAAAGGCACTGTCTGTGAAAGAGACAGAGACGAAAAATAGAAACAACGGCGAAATTTGCTGAAGCATTACCTCCTTAAAATCAAAGAGCTTAGCCTGATAAATTATCTAACTGCGTACTGTTTGTTGTTTGCTTGGATTCTTCAGAAATTGTATGTTCTGTTTCTTTTTCCTGGACGCTGTCCTCGCAACTCAAAGTCAAGTCCACAGTTTTTTACTTCTTCAGTTTGCCGAAAAAATGATGAACATTTTAAGCGGTAGGAACGCTATTTCTGCCGTTTTTATGCGATGGAAAGAACGATCTGATCACGTAGAGGAAAACTAGTTCCCTAAGATTTCCTGTGTAAATACCTCATTTCTTTTTAAGATGACTAAATAAGCTGTATTCAAATATACGTATCTATATTTTTTTATAGTTAAGTTACCTCGCTCATTATCTTTCGGCGTCCTTCAAGTTCGTCTAGCAACACGATAGGTGTAGAAGTCCTCTTTTTCCATTTCCTCCGTTTAGGTAGCTTTTTGTGAAACACCTGGTGGTATTCAACTTGATTTAGTTTTAATTTATTTTTCACTGGACTATTTCTAAGAGAAAGGCCGTGATTTTTGGGACTATTTTTTGTCAGCATGTCGTAGACCACCTTTACGCCGCTTAATGCCTCCCTGAGTATGTTGTTGTCATCTACGAGGAAAGCAGCATCTTTCACAGCGTTCAGTTGCTCTTGAAGGCTCTTTCTCATTCTTGTGCTGAGGGAAGGCTGACCAGTTTTAACCCCTTCAGTTGCTCTTCCCCCAACTTGTGTCTTGTGTTTCTTTGATATCCTTAGGAGTTTCCTTGATATCTCGCATTTCTGACGAGCTGCTTTCACTAAAAGCATCTTCCGTCTCTTCAGTAGAATTGTCTTTTCTTTTACGAGCGGCAAGCAGTGGTGCATCTTGTTCACCGGAGACCGGGAAATTAACATTCAAATGTTCGGTATCAAGAGTGATGAATACACTGGTTTTATAGTCCTTTGGAAGAGCATTAAAGTCCCACTCTTGGTAGGCTCTGAACACCGCGAAGAAGTGCTTACAAGGGTATTGGGACTTCTGCCATGCTTCACAGGTGCAACTTGGAATTTTTAACTGGACATTTTTGTTGCTGCTTCGACTTACTGGAACTTTTCACGTGAAATTCACCTTTCTGGAAATTAACGGAGGATACATCGTCATCTTGGTATTCGCCTGCCTGAAAGCGAGATTTCAAGCAGTACTTCATGAATTATGGGAGTCTGTTTTGCAGCTAAGCAGGAACAGAGGAAATGTACCTCCCATAAGCACTACTGCATTGCGTGAGTTTCTACAAAAAATCAAACGATCAGGTCTTTACGAGGTCCACTCCCAATTTATAAAGGCAAAAAATCAGCTGAAAATAAAAGAAACTACCAATCATTTTTCGAAAACCTCTTGTGATTTAACTCCTTTGAGTGCAAGGCCTTCTTTACAAAGCATGTGGAACTTAAAAGGAGAAACCTCTCGAGCATATCCTCGAACTCGTCTCTTTTCCCATCGAAATAACCCAAGAAGTACTGGTTTTTAACAGAAAAATTTTCAAGGTTTTCCTCAAGGAACTCAATCTCCGATTTCTTTAAAGAAGATTGAATAGCCGCCGCCATCATTACGCACTCTAGTGTCTTATTCAAAAACTGTTTTCAGTTTTAATGTCATCCTTTCGCAATATTCGCGGGTTTTAATTTCCCCGCTGACCAAACTTACCGTTTACTCTTACCCTCGACAACGCCTTCGATATAGCGTCATCCTAGCCATTTGGTCTGGCCTGTAGAGGGGCGACAATAACAGCCGGAACGGCGGAATAGCGGAAAATCACCCCAAATGCTAAAACACGGAACGGCGGAAAATGACCCCAAATACTAAAACATGGAATGGCGGAAAATGACCCCAAATTCTAGAACACGGAATGGATGTCAGGGCATCTTGCACGGATTTTGTACAAAGACACTCAAGCGCTTGGCTCATTCATCCCCAGGACGATAACGCGCGTGACTAAAATAACTGTTATTACTTTTTTTTCTTTTACTGTGTAGTATAAATAATGATGTCCTTTATGCATAAAAGATAGCTGAGTTTTTGCGTTGTAAACCTGTTTAATTACCTTTTGTTATGCTAAATTTGCCACGGGTTTAAAGTCGTAGCATAAAAAATCACACAGCACGTTTCAGCGCTTCCGGGTCAAGTCTGCACAGGAACATTTTCAGGTTACTTGAAATATAACGACGTTCAGCCCCAGCTCCAAACTTAGACTAGCGTGAGAGCACGCCCCCGTTAGGAGCCCTTCAATACGAGCGTTTCTTCGTCAGTCCACGAAAAAGTTTTAGGCCTTAAGTAACACGAGGTGAAGTTTGCATGCCGTCATGCGCGCGGGAATTTCTCATGGCCATAGAGTTGACGATTTGCAATTTGTTGAGAAACAGAAGAAATCCGCTGAACGAATTGGTGAAATAGCCTCTTTTTTGTCCAGAAAGTTTATTTCTTCCGCTGATCTGTAAGCCGTAAATTAATAGTAGGATGGTGGTGTTTTGGACACCTGGTCGCGAAGAAATTCTTCAAATTCTTCTTGACGGCTTCCTTCTGCTAACTTTCTTTTTCACGCCATGAGAAATTCCTACGCGCGTGACCCCCTGCAAACCTCTCTTCACCTAGTGTCACTCAAGGGGTCTCTGTAAAACGAGGACCGGATATATGCGGATGGCGGATGCGGATAGAAATATGCGGATGAAAATTGCGGATGGAAAAATGCGGATAGAAAAAAAAAACCGGTTGGAAAAACAAATGTCATTACAGTAAAATAGGGGGTTGACAGGCCTACACGACTCCCCAGCGCGTGTTTAGAATAGCCTACCGTATTTACTCGAATGAGCGCCGCCCTCGATTAAGCGCCGCTCTCGAATAAGCGCCGCATCTGGGACAAAAAAAGTTATAATTAAGAAGCGCCGCCCTCGAATAAGTGCCGCACCCCCGATGCGGCGCTTATTCGTGGAATTCCGTATAACCAAGAAAAACACTATAAAACAATTTTAACACAGCATCGGCAATTTATATTCTTTAAATGTGATGTTCTATAGTTCAAAGTGACTCTATTATTCTGCTCGGGTTATCACGAAACGCTCGGGATTTTTTCACCGCATGAATTTCTATCGTAATTCTAGATTTACTATCAGTTTAGCATCAGTCCATACGAAAATTGACAGATAGAAAGTGTACCGTTGAATAAAAATATAGAAAAAGTAAATTTGTCTGGTACAATTTTTAAATAACGGCAGCACTTGTGGCGCGAAAAATTAAATAAGCACCGCGGCGTTTATTCGAGTAAATACGGTATTCAAAGTTTGGCCCGAGTATGTTTGGTCACGAGTATGTCTTTGAGCGATCGCCCCCTTTTGTAAGATATGAGCGACGGATTTTTGTATAATTCGCTCAGTACTGGTTGTGTTTCTATTAAATGCCAGTGTCTCATGAGAATTTGCTTTAGGTTTGGCACTGATGGTTGGTATTGTGTAACAAAAGGCAAGATTCGTTGGTTCGTCTTCGGTTTCTGTTGAAGAGCTAGTTTCCTGTTTTTGAAATTCACCTCTGAGAAGGTTGTGTTAATGAGGTCCTCTGGGTAGCCTCTCTTTAGCAAATGCACTTTGAAATCTGCAATTTTCTCCTCGAATATTGTTTGAGAGGAGTTTGTTCTGAGAGGTCTAAGGACCTCTCCTTTTATGACGCCTTTCTTAACTCCTTGTAGGTGACAGGAACTATGTGTATACTGAAATGTCTCAGTTTGTTTAAAATGAGTACGCACATCAAGGATTGCGTCCTTTTCGAATTGTTCGCCTTTGTAGATGTAGGTGTCCAGGAATGTTGTTTCCTTATCGGAAATTTCAGCCGTAAATTTTATTGTTGGGTGATGATAGTTTGCTTTTTCAATGAAACGTTCTATTGTTGCTTTGTTTGTACTCCATAACAAGAAGATGTCGTCTATGTAACGTTTCCAAACAAGGGGTTTGAAAAGGCTTTTGTCAAGGATTTCTGTCTCTACCTTGTTCATGAAAATATTAGAAAAGGCGACTGCCATTTTCGTGCCCATATTGCCGTACCATGTCTTTGAAGGTAGTGCTTTCCATTAAAATGGAAGGAATTTTCCTGGAGAATTAGCCTAAGCGCTTGTTTTAGTAGTTGTGTAGGGATAGGAGTTCCGTTTCTATAGAATATTTCGTATGCTTTGCAGACAGTGTCTATTCCCTCCTCTTGTGGTATATTTGTATATAAGCTCGTAACCTCCATTGAAACAAGTATTACGTTCTCCGGGACTTTCGTATTTTCTATGAAATTGACGAAGACTGTATTATCCTTAAGATACGACTTTTGTTTTTGTGCTATAGCGGGGGTTCGACATAGCGGGGTTCGACTGTAATGACATGTATAATGTTGTTGTTGTTGTTTTCTTTTTTTTCCAATCGATTATTTTTTTCTATCCACATTTTTCCATCCGCAACTTTTCTATCCGCATCCGCCATCCGCATCTATCCGGTCCTCGTTTTACAAAGACTCGCCGTTAACTAACGTTTCGAGCGTTAGCCCATCTCTGACGAAGGGCTAAAGCTCGAAACGTCAGCTTTTTAACTCTTTACGGTGGCCAATTTACAATTTCAACTTAGTTGATATTACCAAATTACCTTGTTACCCCCACCGACGCAGCACCACAGTTTCTTTAGAAACCTACCCCTTTATTCCTTGGTTTATAAGCTCCACAAAAATTGATCTCAAATTTAGACATAAAGATTGACTGGTAATTTAGACAACGAATCTCACTCGTTACGCCTTACTAAAAGATTAAAATTTGACGCCTAAAAACCATTCAGCCGTGTAAGGTCAAAATCTCCGCACTGCTTCCGCGACGTCGTATAACGGGACGGATTTTGCCGAAAAGGAAGGACCTCTCGCATGTAAAAAATTTGTCCTTTACTGAGGCAAGACGATGACACCTTTGAAGATTGGCAAGGCTTGACACAATTTGGCAGAAAAAAAAAAAAGTCACAGGGCACTTATGTCTCATCGAACTGATGACAGATTGTTTTGCAAAATAAACAATTTGACCTGTGCGCTCCGGACATGAGCAATGGTACCCCTTGTGACAATACATCAAGCCAAGCCAAGAGGCTAGACGTCACATCAAAATTTTTTGCAGCTCCTTGTATTGTGAGACAGCCGAACCATAGCATTTGTTGATGCTCAATTCAACGCGTCCAACATGATGAGCAGAACATTTGCCACAATTTTCGTGTTGGTAAGTTCGTATGTAACGATGTGCACTGCATATGAAGACGACAAAGAACCGATTTGGGATTTTGACGACATCCTGTCCCAAAGATCTCAAGCTGAAAAGCAGCAAGATAGAGATGAGTCATCAGAAATTTTGAAATTCGCCATGCCCGGCGTCCATCCGACAAAGGTAAGGAGAGCAGTGCGGTCTGGTTTATCGATGATTTCTCGAAATTCAAACGGTGAGGGGTTCAAAAGTCGTTGTGAAATTTTATGTAAATGAAGTGTTTGTCTTCTGCTTCATTACATGCACGAAATATATCACTTGTTTTCGGAAGATGACAAAACGCGGAGCCCTACTCCATGGAGTACCCTATGGAGTACCCCTAACAATCATGTATTAGTCAGATAAAATACTTTGTAAGGAAATCATTTAGTTGTACACATCTTAATGTATTTTGATCTTGCCAGCAGTATGATTGTCACAGTTCGATACAGTCCCACATTGACCGCCATCTTGAATATAACATTAAACGACTGGCCACTTCAAACGGAAGGCTTAATGAAATGTAATCTGTGAACGTTTTCTTTAGTGGACCGATTACCATCTTCATCTTATGATCTTCAAGAAGCCAAAAGTACGGACGTACTTCAATCGGCAGCGGGTTTTACGTCTTTCAAAATACCTGTTTATGTGGGGTGTCTGCAAGAGGTGTGGCGTTTAATCTATCAACACAAGTTACTCAAGGCCTCATTTGTTTCTTAATTGTGTGAAGCGATGAGGATAAAAGCTAGGACTTAAAAAGAAGTAATTCATGTGTTTAAACTGACCTTCTCTTCACCCATCTATCCGTAGTGTAATAAAATTGAGATATGTAAAGGAACAACAACAACAACAAAAAAACACCGATGGGTCAGCAAACACATATGACTGGGGCGGTTGATTTGGAAAATGCAGTAAGCTGAAATATACCTCATGCAAAACTCAAAACAGTGGGTTTTGTTCATCATTTGGAGTTTTTCGTCTTCCGGTCAAAGGACTCATTACGCAGCAGTAAAACCAAAATGAAGGAACCACTAAGACTGAGAGCCCCGTGCCCCCAAGAAAACTGGACTGCATCGAACTGCAACAATCGAAGAGCTGGCAAGCTCAAAATGTATTAATTACAAGATGTGTACATCTATACGATTTACCATGTTTGTGAAGTATTTTATTTGACCAATACATAACTTTTAGGGGTACTCCATTGAAATACTCCATAAGGTACTACTTGGAGTAGGGCTCCATGGTTTGTCATCTCCCACTAGGGAGAAGCTCAAGCTGCAATGGATCCCTTTCAAAGCAGTTTGGTTCTTCTCTTACCCAAAATGGAATTGACTTCACAATCATAAAACCGTTCTTTTAAGATTAGTATGCTAAACAAAATGGTTCCCCTTACGGAATGGACAGATATGTAAAGTAACTTTATCTGTCTTGTATCTGTTACAGTACGGTTTTATTGATATCTGCAGCATATCTGCAATTATGTTTACAGATATTTCACAGATATTTCACAGATATGTAGGAACTTCTTTCAAATATTGGCAAAGTATCTGGGGAAATGGACATATATTTAACATATATATAGGTGATCAAACAGGGTGAGTTAGAAATCAAGGACCCATCTTTTGTCATCAGAAGCCAGTCATGATATTTGAATTTTCCCCTACTAGGAGACCATACTTGGCTAAATGCTGACCAAAAATTGAGTGTCCAAACTACCACACTTTTAAACAATTAATTTTGCAAAACTACTAAGATCTTTATAGAAAATAGCATATTGAGTGACATTTGTAACTGTTTACAAAAGGGGTCTTCTCAGCCATGATGTCTTTATAAATCCTCTTTATTGTGGTATTTAACCTGTGTCCTTCAACAAGAACAAATACTGATTGCAAAATAATGTGAGGTAAGTCTGTTTAGGAGCCTATAGTGGCCCATTAGGCCGGCGCTTAACTCTGGTTTCTGTAGCATGAAGCGACTATAGGAGTATTTCTACTCCCCCCTGGATGGGATGCCAGTCCATCGCAGGGTTACCCTCAGCATTAAATTGCCTCTCTTCACCCAGGTGTATAAATGGTTACCGGCAACAAAATAATAAAGGGTCCAGAAAAATATTCACACAATCAATTTTCTATTTGTACATCAATTTATCAATTTACTTGCTTTGCAAATCTAACGTGAAAACAGCTCAACCTTTAAATAAACAAGACGGCTTTTGTTTCCTTCAAAAGTGTTAATTAAGCTTACTGTACTTGCATCAGCTGTCCCATTATCTTCAACTTAACCTATATCTGGAATTATTTCATTACTGTTCGGTTCTTCTACGTTTTCATAAACATGTGAAGGAAGTTCTTCATAATTTTGTACTTCAATGCTCTCCACAAGTGAGCCTGAATCAAAACATGTGTCCTGCAGTGTGAATCCTGATCATCCATTTTCAGCTGTTGAAGAATTCGAAACCAGTGATCCATTCGTATGGAGTGTCATTACCGCAAATATTCAGCTACTGTTTTTTTTTATAAAATGGTGCTTAAGATATGAAGCCAATCATGCTTTATGCAGCTAAACAATTTATAAAATGGTGCCTTAAAAAATATGGAGTACTAATTTTATGAAGCCAATTTTGTTTTATGCAGCTAATCATTTTATAAAATGATTAGCTGCCTATAAAAGGCTTAATGGTAATGGCACCCCCATACATTCGAACCATCGATGTGATCTTCAAAACACCGTGGAGTTAATGGAGGGGTTGGTCTCAAATTATTACAGCTTGGAGCTTCGATTAAAGCATCCCTCACAAGACAACTCAAACTTTGGTGGCAAAGGATTTGCAACGCAACGAAAAGGTGTTGAAAACGCTTGCATTTCCTTGAGTCAATCCGTTTGTCCGCCATCTTGCTTTACACTGTAGATAGACGAGGGGGAATGGAACCTAAAGTATAAAACGCGTTTGATTGGGTATGCTGCAATTTCACAGCTTTTTCGGTTAACTTTGTTCTTGTTTTCTTTTTGTGGTGTGATATATTTCAGTTATTCAAACGCTTGCACTTGGCGTCGTTTTAGCGTGCTGTAGACTTAAAGTTCGGCTTACAGATAAAGAGCAGCTCTGAAAAATGTCAAAAAGGAATCAATGAATTGCCAAATTAAAGCATCAACATGTTTTCAAGAGGATAATGGTGAGTGACACCCATTTTTTTTGAGTGGTGAAACTTAAAACTTTTTTTGTTTATTTTGTTCATAGTTGTAAATGACCTTATTGAAACTATGAAATACTTGTCTGTAGCAAGACTTACTTCAAACGGATAATCTTAGTTGCTGATACCTTGTTTCCCTATAGACTGTTTGGGAAGGTTGTAGTTGATATTGTCCAAAAATATGCCAACTAATTGTTTTGTAGAAGGATGTAGCAACGTGCGAAATTTGCAAGAGGGTATCGCGCTTCATGCATTCCTCATACAACACACCTAGTCGGCATATTTCGGACAATATCGACGACAACCTTCCCAAACAAGTGAAAATGTGTGAAATGCAGACTTTCATGTTCTCGATATGACGTCACATTACCCGCTAGAGCCATTCCTCTTTAAACTCAGTCGTGGGGCAAGATGGTGGCTGATTTTCCGTATTTTGACTGGGCACAGAAAATTAAAGATTTGAGCAAATTAAAAAATTTTTGCACAGAAATACTCCAAAAAATAAGCTTAATTCGTTAGGCGAAAAAAAATGTTTGGGTTTAGGTGCACTTTAAATAGTCCTTTGCCTCTATATCATGTTTCAAAGGTAAAGAGTGTTTGACAAAATTAATATGAATTACTTTCTTCTTTGCCAGTAACTAAGCCATCATGATGATATTTTTTTATGAAGTGACAGTCTTTTGTAGAACTTATTACTACTTCCCTTGCTAACCAAGCTTATGCTGTCACTTTGGACTGTGTCTTTCATCATTTTGATTGATTGAATCTAGTTAGGGAAGGGGGCTATTCAAGTGCATGGTGATCTCATCAATCTCTGGCAATCTAGGTACAGTGTGCATAGTCAAACAGACTACTGTACTCTCCTTGGTTGAAATTTTTGTTAGCATTTAGATTATGAAACTCCATATAATCAACTTTGTAGGGTTGTTTGTTGGTAATTATCCACAATTTGAATCATTTGAGAACTGACTTGAACATTTGTGTTTTCATTGCTTCCTAGGTTTTGTTCTGGATGAGAAAAATTACAGAAAGCAGGCTGCCACAATTGTAAATAAACCCTGCAAGATAAGTGCTGTGGAGCTTGTAAAGAAGTATTAAAAAAAAGAAAAAAAAAACACCTAGAACTTTATCACAATTTTATGATTATTCCTGTCTTTTTAAATGATTTTTTAAGTTTTATATGTTCTTGCTGATTACAAGAGAAATGAAAATTTCATACATACTTTTAAATTTATATCAATAAACTTTGTCAAATAGATAACTTTGCAGTGTCTTATTCACTTGTTCTTAATTAATGAACTACACCCTATGTCCCCCTTGATAGTCTCCCTTGTAGCCACAATAGAGATTTACAGACAGTTAACATATCTATAGTAGCAGATATTTCCACAGATATGTATGTACTGTTGGTTTTTCATATCTGTCACAGTTAGAAATTTTGGGCCGAATTCCCATATGTTACAGATATGTTACAGATAGGTCATGCAGGTATTTCACAGATATGCTGCAAACCTGAGGAACACATCTGTAGCCCATCTGTCCGTTTTGGTGAGGGTCCTGTAAAAGCAACTGAAGTAAAAAAGAAGTATCACCAACAAGGAGTGTGATAATTTTTATTAATGTTATAGCTTGTTATAACCAAGTCAACCAAAATCAGGGCTCGACACTAATGGTAGCCAAGTAGCCACAGACTAGTAGAAATTCAGTTTTGGCTTATGGTTTTGGATTTCCACTAGCCAGTTTGGCTAGTAAACATACTGAAATTGTATCATCCAAGTTGTCACTTGCCACATCATTTTGGTTTGTAATTTGAAAAGTTAGTGTCAAGCCCTGACAATGCATGCATCACATGTAGCTGCCACAACTTACTGAGTGCAAAATATT